GGTAGAAAGCGGCAGCAGTCAGAGAGAGCGGTAACAGAAGAGGGAGCTGTTTAGATCAATGAAGCAAAAGTCCAGAAAGAGACCCACACATTAATGATCAATTATCTTCAAGCCAGGGAAGGGCTGGCTTTCTTTACCGATGTTTCTGAATGATTGTGTAATCTGTGTGCGTGTGGGGGTGTGGGGGGAGAACATGAGTGTTGCCACACTTGCCTCCTAACATACATAATTTAATTCACCGGGGAGCATAGATTTAACTGTAGACATTAAAACTATAAAAACATCCAGGAGCAGCCGAAGCAGAAAATCTTCCCAACCTGGAGGAAGGCGGAGGGGACTCCAAAGAGAAAATAACTGATAAATGGGACTTGATCAAAACTTAACGCTTATCCTCTGAGTAACACCGTGAACATAATAAACATACAACCCACTACCGGGAGACAAAGCTTTGTAATGCATGTACCTGGCAAAGGACTGTATCCACATTTCTGAAGGAAGGAAGGAAGGTAGGGAGGGAGAGAAGAAAAAGAAAAGGAACTCTTGCAGCTCACTAAGAGGACACCCAACCCCATTAAAAAGGGGCACAGGCATGTGCCGATCCTTTATCACAGAAGCAGTTCGAATGACCCAGAAGCACATGACAAGAGGCTCATCTTGCTAACTCATCAGGAAACTGCAGACCAGGAGGTCGCTGCCACACCTCCTGTGCCCCCTGTCCTCCACCTCTGAGCACTAGCTGGAATGTCAGGCCTCCCCACTCTCCTCCCTCTCCCTCCCTTTCCTTCTGAATGGAGCGCTAAAGCCTGGCGTGGGGAAGGGTAGGTAGGCCTCTGGTTGGGTTGGTGCTGGGGGCTGCTCTGCCCATGTGGGGTCAGAGTCCATGGGGTGGGGGGGCGGGATTGACCAAAAAGATGATGCATAAGGACAGAAACCAAGTATCACATGCCGGAGAACGCAGGCCAATACAAAGAGGAAACAGCTGGAATAAACTGGTTTCGGATTGGGGAAAGCTCGCATTTCAATATAGATATAGAACTATAAAGGTGTGGGGGCATGTATATGTGTGCATGTATGTGCACTCTTGCCTGCCAAATGCATGTGTACGTGTGTGAGTACATGTGTGCCCTTACACACATTCTCTGGCTCGGTCCCAGAGCAATCAGCAGCCTCTTGGATCTGAGTACCATTTGCCCCTGAGAGGAGCTTGGCCACCGGAGAGGTGACGGAGCTGGAAAGGAGAGGGGCCGGGAAGAAGCTTGTGCAAGGACATACTCAGGAGAGATGCAGAGAGACCTCCACAGAAACACGTCACCAGTCATGTGCCCACACCTGTGTCTGCAGCAGCCCAGGCAGGAAGTAAGCAGAAGTTCATCAACAGCTGAAAGGAGAAGCACCCTATCCGTTCCTGTGAAGAGATACCACCTGGCAATAACAGGAAACAGATGCAGGTGACAGGGCCTCCACCTGAATTACAAATGCATGGAACGAGCCCACGGGAGGGCGTGTGGCTGGCCTGAGCCACTGGGGAACGCGTGGCGACCATAAGACTAAAAGCACAGGGACTGCACGCAGCACGACGCTCTGATTGACAGAGTTAATTCCCACAGGGGTGCAGGGTGACCTTCCGGTACTGCTTCGACGGCAGTGAGCAGTGAGGTGACTGCACGGAGGTGTTGGGGGCTGGGCCCTCCCTGTTGGGGAGGAGGTTGGGGCAAGCATGGAGGAGGCAAGAGTGACCTCTGTGGTGATGTATTAGAGCTGGAGACACAAGTTCGAAGTCTTGATTAGCTTATAATAATAAAGATACATAAGAAGATGTTTATTCATCTATGTCTATACACCAGTCAGTGCACACACATTTCCTTGTTCTCTCAGCTGAGGGCATAGATGCAAGGACACCCCAGAGCAACCAGCACACCAGTGAAGCCCAGGCTCGGGTTTCTAACAGCATCTCCAAAACAAGGAACCGGGTCCTTGGAGAATGGCTGATTCTGGGACTGAGGCAGCAAATGTTCAAGAAGAGCCAGGTGTCTGAGAAGCTGTCACAGCCCAGAGGACCCTAAGGAGACACGACGGTTAGATGTCCTTGGGGCCTGGATGGAATCCTGGGACAGAAAGAGGAAGGGCATCCGAATGAACCAGGGATTATGGTCAGTATAGGGTATCCTATGGGTCATTAATCATAACAAACAACTCATACCATTATTAGATGTTACTAATAGAGGAAGTTGGGTGCAGGCTACAAATCTAAACCTGGTCTAAAATTTAAAAGTGTATTTCTATAAAAGAAATGCAGGCCTAGAGGCCCAGGCCCAAGAGCCTGGCAGAGACAGGTCAAGCCCTGTGCAGAGTGGCCTCGGCTGCCCCCTGATCCCGTGGTCTCCCCACAGATCAGACAGACACATCACAGTTGCCCAGCCTGGGGCAGCCCTTCCTAACCGTCCCCTGTGCTGCCAGAACCGGATCACTGAGCTGATTAGGGGACTCTGGGAGGGGCCAGGACTTCCTGTCCCCCCAGCTATCTCCCAGTCACAGGATGAGTTGGAGGTCATTGTAGGTCAGTGATCTCCTCTTAGATCTGGAGGAACTGAGACATGAGGAGGGTTTTGCTTGATGATCCAGGACCAGTCTTCTTAGGGTGCAGACCTGTCTCCTTCCCATCACCCCCTGCCAAGAGCTTCAGCTCTGAAGTGGGTGCTCCACATTGACCCTGATGATGACAAGGATGGCAATGGCACCACCTGTCCAGGCCTCTGAGGGCCTGATGTGGCCCAGTTTAGGAGGTGGGGTGGGTCTGCAGCAACACAGGTCATCCGCCTCTTGGACCACCCAGTGCCATCTAGACCCCTACAGGAAGGGAGATGGGCCCTCACCTGTCCCACCCCAGTTAGCCTCCAGTGTTGGGACCCTCTCTCCCCCCCTGGCAGCCCATTGTGCTTGGGAGGCAGAAGGATGGCCCTTCCAAGATGTCCTCATCCTCACCCCTGCACCTGTGCCTGTGCCGGTGGGCTCACGGGACAGAGGCTTTTGTGGACATGACTAAGGGTGATGTCCTTGAGACAGGAGAATTCCCTAGGCTAGGGGTGTCGAACTCAATCAGAGAAGGGGCCAAAATCTAAAATCCAGCCTAAATCGCGGGCCGAATGGTTTACTGAACAGTCATAAACTGTCATTGTGATGGAAACGCAGCGGAGAGCAGTGATGACAGCGTGGTGTGGGCCACATTGCAAGGCCTGGCGGGACGGATTTGGCCCGCGGGCCTTGTGTTTGACACATGTGCCCTAGGCTGTCCGAATGCACCCAGTGTCCTCAGGTGAGTCCTTAAAATCACAGGCTCTTCCCAGCAGTGGGCAGGAGATGGAGGGTGTCGGAGAGATGCTCCTGGCGGCCTTTGAAGATGGAGGACATGCCAGGAGCTGAAGCACTTGGGGGCCTCTAGAAGCTGAAAGAGTCCAGGAACTGATTCTCCCCTGGAGCCTCCGGGAGGAATGCAGCCCTGTCCACACCTGGGCTTTAGCTCCTGAGACCCAGGACATGCCTCTGACCGAAGAATCAAGAGAAAATAATGTGTCATTCTAGCCCCGACTTTGTGGTAATTCCAAACCCAGATGATATCCCTGAAATATTTACCCAATATTTAAGAAAGAAAGAATAGCAAACCTACATAATCTATCCCAGTTGGAGAGAACACTGCCAAACTCCTTTGTGTAAGGCCAGGATTACCCTCATACCAAAATTAGTCAAAGACATTACATAGAAGGTAACTACAGACGAATATCCCTCATCAGCATAAACATGAGAATCCTCAACAAGATATTAGCAGATTGAATCAGGAGCCATATAGATGGGATCTAGATAACACATTGTGACCCAGAGAAGTTTACATAAGAAAACCAGAGATATTATATGAGAAGAAAACTACAGACCAGTGTCCCTCCTAGAGCGAGCCACCAAAATCCTTAATCCAACTTTGGTGAATTGAGTTCCTCCAAATATGGAGAGGCTGACACATCACGGTCAAGTGTAATTCATTCCAGGAATGCAAAATTGGTTTAACACGGGAAAATTAATCCATGTAATTCATCATATTGACAAACTATAAAAGTATAGCTATTGTCTTATGCTTACAGGCAGAAATTTTCTTTTTTACACAACTCAACACCCATTTTAATCGAACAGAAATTCTCAGCAAATTAATCAAGAGTGTGGTATAGTTATTTCTGTTGAATTAAAATGGGTGTTCATTTGTGTAAAAGAATTTTTTTGCCTCTAAGCATAAGACAATAGCTGTTCTTTTATAGTTTGTCAATATGATGAATTACGAGGATTGATTTTCACACGTTAAACCACCTTTGCATTCCAGGAATGACCTATACTTCTTTGGGAAAATCGGAGCCTGAACCCAACCTCACATCGTATCCACGGCCTGGGTCAGCTCAGGTTGTGGACAGCTGGGAAGAACATCACTCACAAACTGCAAATCAAGACATTGCTGGACCCTATCAAAGAATTGAGGTCACAGGGCAAAGAGCTGACCCAACATCTGGAGAGGAACGGGAACAAGCACTTGGTCACCTGGGACAGATGCTGTAGGAGCCAGCCAGAGACAGGTGGGTTCCAGAGCCAGGTGGGTGTCTGGTCAGGGTGGGGGCAGGCTGAGGCTCCCCTAGGCCACAGGAGGGGCATTCTGACACAAAAGGATCAGGACTCTGAGTGTTGGGGGAGGTGGGCTGAAGGTTCTGGTAACCAGCAAGCCCAAGGGACTGTGGTCAGCCCTGGTTGTGGAGGTCAGGGGCCAGGGGTAATGGGGCCAGGCTGGGGTGTGTCCAAGGGGAACTGGCACTAGCTGCTTGTTATCTAACTGTCACTTCCACCTGCCTGTTCCATCACTGATGACACTCAGATCCCAAGATAACAAGGTATCATGGAGATCAGCAGAACTGCTTAGATAACACCCGGATATGGATGTTGTCAGATACCCAAGGAATCCTGGGGTGGGGGATCAGGGCCCTGGGTCTGAATCATCCACTTCCTCCACCCCGGATTGGAGGATCCAGCAACACCTCCTCTGACCCCCACCCCATCTGGAAGGATAAATGGGAAGGGAGAGTGGGCTGAGGTTATAGCAGCAGCGACCAGTCAAGGTAAGCACCCCACCAGACCCCACCACCTGGGGTTAGTGCACTGAGTAGCTGAGCCTCACATCTGGAGCAGCAGGACCTCAGACTGACCCCTCATCCCGGGGTCCTCAACTCCATCTGCCCCCACACCCTGCATACCCCCGCCAGGCTTAGCCACCCTGGGTCAAGCAGCCCCCCCTGGCTCCTTCCAGATGCTGAGTCTGCTGGTGCTGGCACTGCCCCTCCTGCTGAGCCTGGGCCACACGGCCCCTGGTGAGTCCTGTCCCTGTTCCTCCCCCTTCCCTCACAGGCTCCACAAGGGTTGGTGGGCTCACAGAAGCCCAGGTTTGTGTGGGCACAGGGGCTGAGCTGTATCCTGATGGTGTTTCTGCCCCAGCCCCGAGCCAGGACCTGGAGAGAGTGGGCATCGTGGGGGGGCAGGAGGCCCCTGGAAGCATGTGGCCCTGGCAGGTGAGCCTGAGAATCAAAACCAAATTCTGGATGCACTTCTGCGGGGGCTCCCTCATCCACCCCCAGTGGGTACTGACCGCCGCGCACTGCCTGGGACCGTGAGTGCCGACGGGGTCTGATAGGTGGGGGCTGGGGCTGGGACTGCATGCCCACTCCCTCCTGGGTGGACCGGAGCCCGCTCAGTCCCCTGAGTAAGTGCCCCTCCCTCCAGGGAAATCAAAGATCCTGCAGACCTGAGGGTGCAGCTGCGGGAGCAGCACCTCTATTACCGGGACAAACTGCTGCCCATCAACCGGATCATCGTGCACCCCAACTACTATGTCGTCCTGGAGGGGTTTGACATCGCCCTGATGGAGCTGGAGGATCCTGTGAATATCTCCTGCAATGTCCAGCTGGTCGCTCTGCCCCCTGCCTCGGAGACCTTCCCCCCGGGGACTCAGTGCTGGGTGACAGGCTGGGGGGATGTGGGCAATGGAGGTAAGGTGTAGGGCTTAGGCATGGGGCAGGGGAGGGTTGGAGGGGGATCTTGGGCTCCTTATTGAATGGTCATGCAGCTTCTTTCTCCAGATTGTTGAAACCTTCGTAATGCTGGGGTAAGAACCCTGGCATTAATGGACACCCACCCAGAGGCTCCAATATTAATGGCGCCCAACATGGGGCCCAAACATTAATGGCGTCCAATGTGATGTGCCAATAGGCCAGCTTAGGGAGTGGGAGTTAGGTGAGCCCTGCCAGGGAGAGCTGGCAGGGGCAGGGTGTACCAATAGAAGGGACTAGGTGCCTGGGCAAGGAAGCCACCGTGCCTCAGTTTCCCCTAGTATTTCATGGATGGAATGTAGGAAGGAGAGAAAACACACACCCAGGCGTCATTACTAATAAGGAAAAGAGATCAGCCGCCACCGCAGGCTGGCCTGCTCTTCTCCCTGTGCCCCAACAAGGAGCCCGAAGCAGGCACCAGGGGGCAGCTTGATGAGCTCAATCTGACCCTCCGAGACCTTCGTCTTCTCCCCCTGAGCCCACAATCCAGGGCAAAGCCTTAGGGACACTGAGCATGAGCAGGTGCCCTGCGAGAGGCACATGCTCTGGGCCTCCCACAAGGGAGCTGATTGTGGCATCACTCAGGCGCACCTCAGACACAACATCCAACCCATCCAGCCCCGAAAACTGAGTCCTGGGGCCAGGCTGGCCTGGAGGCAGAGCTGGGAGGAACCCGGGCCTGGCTCCCACCCCTTCCCTTTCCTTCCTTAAAGGGGCAGAGGTGAGGTCAAGGACGAGGCTCTGCTTTGGGGGAGAAGGTGGCAGCCCAGCGTGTGCCTGGGCTCAGGCCTGGCACCAAGGAGGCAGCGGCAACCCCCTGCTGCCACCCCCCTGTGCCATCCCCTCCATGCCATCCCCGCCCCCGTGCCATCCCCACCCCTGTGCCATCCCAGCTCCTGTGCCATCCCTGACCCTGTGCCATCCCCACCCCCGTGCCATCCCCACCCCTGTGCCATCCCATGGCAGGTTGGCAGAACCTCCCAGCCCAGCCTGCTTCGTCCTGATCTTCTCACTCCACAGTATCTCTCCCCCCGCCGTTCCCCCTGAAGGAGGTGAGGGTCCCCATCGTGGAAAACAGCAAATGTGACGCGGAATACCACACTGGCCTGTACACGGGGGACAACGTCCACATTGTCAAGGACAACGTGATCTGTGCCGGGGACGAGGAGAGTGACGCCTGCCAGGTGTGCCCGTGTCCTCCCTCAAGACGCCCCCCTCAGCCTCTGCAGCCCCTTGCTGACCCCTCTCTTCCCCAGGGCGACTCTGGAGGGCCCCTGGTCTGCAAGGTCAACGGCACCTGGATGCAGGCGGGTGTGGTCAGCTGGGGTGACGGCTGTGCCCAGCCCAACAGGCCAGGCATCTACACCCGCGTCACCTCCTACCTACACTGGATCCATCAGTACATCCCCAAGGAGCCCTGATCCTGTCCCTCCTACTGCCACCTGGGGCCGAGGAGAATCCAGCCCCCTCCTGCCCCAGACCACTGCTTCCTGCCCAGTGTCTGCCCTTTCCACCTCCCTGCTCCCTGCCCTGAGCCCCCCCCCCCCCGGCCCCCCTGCCAACCCCTCCTCAGCCCAGGGGGCAGGTGGTGGGCACTGCCCCTCATTAAAGTGTGTGAAGAGCACATGTGGTTGTGGCCGTGTGTCTCTCTGTGGGCCTCACCGAGGGGGAGGGAGGGCTCCACGCAGCCACTGTGTGTCACTGTGGGGACCCGGCCCTGAGCACTGTCCTGGCTGTGAGGACACTCTCTCCTCAGCCCTGATGCCTGGGCTGTGTCTCCTCGGGGAGTGGTCATGAAAATTCAGGACGCAGAAAGCAATACAGAGCATTTAAAAGATGATTCTAGCCCAGCCAGAGTGGCTCAGCGGTTGAGTATTGCCCTTTTAAGCAGATCACGGCTTGATTCCTGGTCAGGGCACATGCCCAGGTTGTGGGCTCAGTTCCCAGAAGGAGGTGAGCAGAAGGCAGCGATCGATGACTCTCATCATGGATGTTTCTCTCTCCTCCTCCCTGAAATCAATAAAAATGTTTTTAAAAAGATGATTCTAGGGGCAGCCAGGTACCCAGCATCGGGGTCACAATGTAGACCCTTAGCCCCACACCCTGGGGCCCCCTGACCACGCAGTGCCCGCCCTCCCCAGCCCTGTCCTCAGCCTCAGGCCGCACTGCGCACGCACATGTGGACATCGGGAGGCTGCCTAGGTGTCCCCTCTGCGGACCGAGGGAGGGAGAGGCTGGAGCCTCCCATCACACCGAGACCAGGTGGTGCCGTGCCTGCTGCTGGGTGCAGGGGGGACACCGCTTCTCACCGTCAGCGTGTCAGCTCTCACGCGGAGTCGTGTCCAGGCGGCTACAGGGACAGAGCTGTCCCCAGTCAGGGTCTCAGGACCAGAGGCGCCTGTCCTGAGCACACCCCACATGTCTGCCCTGTGCCAGCGAAGGAGCTGGGCCGGAGGTCCGAGCACCTCTGTTTCCTGGGAGCCAGATGTCCCCACAGCAATGGGGTCCTGCTTGTCACCTCCAGCCCTCCATTCTGGTTGGGGCGGCATCTCACTGAGTTTTAATTAGCATTTTATGGGATTTGGTCTGGGAACTCCTTTCACAATTGGGGCCCCCTGGGCAGGAGAGGGGGCAGGTGTCCGCCTGCAACACTGACGGCCCCAGGCCCTCGTCCAATGCGTCCGCCTCTTGGATATGTGGTCGCTGAGCGAGCTTCCTGTCACTGCTCAGGTCCCAGGGCCGCTGGTTCTGTGCCTCCGGCTTCTGTGCGTGCGGCTTGTCTCCTTGGCATAGCATCCATGCCAGAGCTCCACTGCCCACGGTGCAGACTTGGCAGGTCCCTGTGGGAGGGCCTCTGCCCTCTCACCTGAGCCTCCCCACTGTGGAAACCGCTGTGGTGGGGAGCTCACCTCCTCCTTCCCTGTCACCCTTAACCATCTGATCGCAGCCAGAATACTGTCCTTCCTCCATGTGAGGGCAGAGAGGGGTCGGCCAGCGCCCTCCCTACTCCCTTTCTGCCCCACACTCTTGGGGCTGCGCTGTGGTCAGTGGCTGAGCTCCCTGGATTGCTCACCTTGCACAAGCGCATCTACACTTTTCCAAGTGCAGGCTGTGCTGGGGACACCGGGGGACAAGGGCTTCTCCAGTGGGGGGTGCAAGGAAGGAAAGGGACATGGCGGGCCTGGGGCTGAGACGCCCACATTGGGGGAGCAGGGAGGAGGCCGGGCACCCCGCTTCCCCTTGTCTGGCCCTGGGATCTGGAGGCGCTCAGCCAGCGGCAGTGACAGACACAGTGAGTGCTGGCTTATCAGGGAGGCTCAGCGGGCCTTCCGCTGGGCCAAGGGGGCTGCGAAGGGGCAGCCCTTCCTCTGTGCCCACATGGGTCCTCCTGAGGGCGCTCCGTGCACGCCCACGGTCACCGGCTGCTGGTGACCCGCACCCCAGTTCAGGGGAGGGTGGCATTCTGGGGTACGCCACCCCTCCCTGTGCTCTCCTGGAAAATGGGCACAGAACCGAGTCCCATCAGAGTCATCGAGGGGCCACACCTATGGTGATCGGAGTTTCTTGTTGGAGAGCAGGCCTGCAATCTGGGATGGGGGTCCTGCAGGAAATTATGTATGGGGTGCCGATGGAATGAGTGGTCTCAGTGCTGGAGGCAAATGAGCTAAAACAGGTGAAGACCCTGAAGGCCCATCGTGTGGGAACCAGGGAAAGCCCTTGGGGTCCAGAAGGCAGAGGACTGGATTCTTCTGGACCTGCCCCGCCTCACACTGGGCAGCATCCGGCCCCTGGGCCGGCCTGGGCTGCAGCCCCACTCCCTGAGCTGGACAGAAAGGGCGCTTTCCCCTTTCCCGAGGTCACCTCCTGTGTGTGGCTGCCACCTGTTCACACAGCCTGCACCCAGAGGTGGTGCCACTCACGTCCGTGTTCATCGGAGCCACGTGGCTCCCGCACCTCTGAGCTGAGCTCTGGGCCAGGTGCTGGCGGCACGGAGTTCTGGCAGTTCCTGGAGCAGCTTGGTCCTGGTGAGTCATCAGGCAGCCTGCCCCATGCCTCAGTTTCCACATCTCAGAGAGGAGGCTCCCATGGGGTACATGATTTGGATCTAGGCAGGCAGCGGGGGGTTGGGACCAGAAAGTCTTAGGCCTTCCCAGAGGCCCCTAGTCACCTCGGTCACCAGGCGCTGGCCAGACAGAGGACTGTTTGGGAGGGCCGCCCGAAGCTGGGCAGCTGGAGCTGTGTCCGGCTGGTCTTTGGTGGACTTCACAGGACCTTAGGGTGGGGATGGGAACAGGGACATGGGGGAGGGCAGGGCAGGGAGAGTCTGGTCACAGGGCCTGAGCTGTCTCTGCTGGGTTCATGCTGGGCCTTGAGCTGGGACAGAGGAGCCAATGTGCCTGGGAACTGCGGCGAGCTTCCAGGAGGGGGCAGCACTGACATCACCTGTGCCAGGCGAGGAGGAAAGACACAGATTTTACAGCCTGGTGTCTGGGGTGATGATAGGTCCTGCTGGGGTATTTCCCCCCCAAAAGACAATTTTTTAATTGATTTCAAAGAGGAAGGGAGAGATAGAAACATCAATGATGAGAGAGAATAATGAATTGGCTGCCTCCTGCATGCTCCACACTGGGATCGAGCCCACAACCCCTGGCATGTGCCCTGACGGGGAATTGAACCTTGACCTCTTTGTTCATAGGTTGATACTCAGCCCTGTAGCCATGCCGGTCGGGCCTGCTGTGGTCTGGACAGTAGGTGAGAAGAACAGAGCCTCAGGTGTTTAGTGATGATTCCCCTCACTGTCGATAAGAGTTCCCTTACAGACCCTGGGGAACGGGAGGAGGAGACAAGGCTGTAAGAAGATCAGATGCCTCGGTGGGTCCGTGACTCAGAAAAGAACTACATTTGAGAACAGATCAAGGACAGGACACTTTGGTTTGGTGCCTGTGCCCGGACCCTGACCCCCTCCGTGAGTTTGCCTCAGGAACACTGACCATTCTCCGGCCCCAGGAACGGACTGAGCTGTTTGTATATCACAGAAGGTTGGCCACCTTGTATTGGGACTTTGAGTTCCTGAAGGCCGGATTGCAGACCCTGCCCTCCCCTTTCCCTGTTACACTTGCAGCTGCACATAACTAGCTTCTCCCTCGTGTGTCTATAACCTGCCAACTGGCGAGGGGTCAGAGTAGAATTCCCAGGGTGACTGACTGCTCTCCCCACACTGCTGGCATCCTATCTAATAAAGAGGGAATATGCTAATTGACCCTCATGCTGTCCAAAAGATAGCAGCCCCTACAGCCAATAAGGAGGGATTATGCTAATTTACTGTCCCACCCTCAAAGGTGATGGGGCCCACTGACAATAAGGAGGGACTATGCTAAATGACTGCCATGCCCTCCAAGATGGGGTTACCCACAGACATAAGATGGTGGTGTTTAGTATCCCCAGACCCCAGCTGCCCAAGGCTGGCCGGAGGTGCAGGCAAGCCTTTGATGACAGCTGCCCAGCCGCCCGGGGCCGCCCAAGGCTCAGGTATCCTGGACCGGCCGAGGCTTGCTCCACCCGCAATGACAGCAGAAGTATGATGGGGTGTCACCTTCCCCTGATCACTGGGGTGCCTCCCGCCCCTGAGGGCTCCTGGACTGTGAGAGGCGGCAGGCCAGGCTGAGAGACCACTTCTCCATTGCATGAATTCATGCACCGGGCCTCTACCCTGTTTCCCTGAAAATAAGACAGTGTCTTATATTAATTTTTGGTCCCAAAGATGCGCTAGGTCTTATTTTCAGGGGATGTCTTATTTTTGCAAGAAGAAGAATACAGTACACATTTATTGTTAAATGAAAATAAAGGAAATTTATTACCTGTATACGGTACGGTAGTACGGTAGTTGTCAACAAAAACCAGACAAACTGTGAATCCTACAGTATCAAGAATTTACTCATTTATTCAGTGACAATCATGTCATCATCTTCTGGAACATCATCATAACAATCCAATTCCTGAATTTCCTGGTGAATTTCTTGTAACTCCATTTCTTTCAGAATCAGTGGACCAAATCTCTCATGTTTAGCCTAGGGGGGCCTTATTTTCGGGGGGATGCCTTATTTTTCACACTGTAAGTAGGTCTTATTTTCGGATGATGTCTTATTTTCGGGGAAACATGGTAGTTATTGGAATAAACACTCACATATGATTCAACCGTGTCTCTGCTGAATTTGGCTCAAGTAGTGACAGGCGGTCTCGGACCCATTGTGTCTGGTTTCAGTCTGACTGTGCGCCCCTGAGACATCCACTGGCTGCCTGGACTGCAGGGTCCCTCTGGGGCAAATGGAGGCGATAAGCCCTCACTTCAGGATGTACACAAGGAACAGCTGGGCCTGACCTCAGCTCCTCCTCCTCCCTCCCTCCTGGGTCTTTCCTGCCTCTCCCCAGCGGGCACGTGGGGCTGATTGCAAAGGGGTGGTGGAAGGTTGTCTAGCTGGACTATGGTGGTGCTTATGTGACTGTATGCATTGGTCC